AAAATAATTATTATCCGTTGAGTAAACAAAGAATAGAGTAGCTAAGCTAAAAGAAGGAATAATACTAAAGGAAAGAGCAGAAAACAATGAAGTAGAAAATAAACAGTTTTTAACTGGCAAAAGTTGATTTTCAGTAGGTTGGCATGGCAGAGGGCCATCACAGGGGAGGACTAGTTCACTGTTTGCACAGGTAGCACTTATATTCCCATCATTCTTCCCACTTTTCTGAAGTAGTTCTGGAAGTGCTCTTTCATGAGTGTCTTTATGATGTGTGACCCAAAATGTGGTGAATACTCCTGCTGAGCACCATCCCACAGAAACTTAGGTTGGTAAAAACATTTCTGTGTGTCCTCAGCCATCTTATTCACTGGACCTAGCACCTTTTGACTTCTGACTCTTCCACAGAATCAAAATGAGCATGAAAAATAAACATTTTAAATGGATTCAATACCTCTCAGCCATGACAATGTAATTAAAAGACATTCACAAAAGGGGTCTTTGGAAACTGCACCAGAAAGTAGCAAGAAGTGTTCAGTAAGTGTATTCAGTGGAGAGAGAGAGCATTTTGATGGGGGTTAGTGGCAATATATATTTTAGAGTTTTTTTTATTAAAGGTTCACTGCATTTTGGAATCACACCTTCTATGGGAAGCCTAATCAAACTTTGGTTAGCTGAAGCTGGATGTGTGTTTGTCTGCTTATAATGTGAGCAGGATTGAGCTGTGGCCGTGTATATCTGGGAAAGCCTGGAGAAGTGCCATTCTGATGACTTCCACAGAAAGTAAAAGTACATTAAACTGTCCTTAGTACTATAGTCTATAAAGAGGAATCACTGTGATGGATACTTTTGTGAAATGCCTCTCCCTTTTTTGCTTTTTATTTCTTTCATTTTGATCTTTGCTTACTTAGAAGAGATCATTATCCCTTGGAGTATTAAGTCATCAAATATTGCCACAATCCTCATCACACTTTTGAGGGGCAAAATCACTGAAGTCATTCTGAGACCTGTGTAAGTCAGTCTGAAACCTGTGTTACAAATCTGCTTTAAAACCAGCCCGGCAATACACTATACACATCATTTAGAGAGACTTGTACCTTGAGATTTAGAAAAGAGATTACTTCATTTGCAGCAATATATTGGCATTTGAGAAATTTTCAGAACAAAAGTGTTTTAATTATTTCTCTCATTTTAATTTATTTTATTTTTATTTGGCAGTGCCATTGATTGAAACCCAGGCAACCTCATGTATTCTAGGCAGACACTCAAACCGAGGAACGCCTTCAGCCCCTTTTTATTGTTTTGAGTCCTGGTCTTGCTAAGTTACCAAGACTACAATTGAACTTTTTGTCTTGCTGCCTGAGAATTCTGAGTGGCCTGGATTACAGGCAGTCCCCAAAAGGTGAGGCTCATCATCATTTTTTAATGTGTATTTCTTGATATGCATAAAATGCCAAATGTTTACAAGATGCATACGTTATTAAAGTTAAGGTGGCTATGATTTCTAAAACACAGACAAAATCTTTGCAATATATTGAACCCCCTTGGTATTTCTTCAGGGTGTAAAGACAGATGTTTATGCCATGCAAGCTGAGTGCACATCCTCCAGGCAGTGTATGGTAGATGTGCATGCAATGACTGATAATAATGGTGCATTAGTGCAGGGGACCCATTGGCGTTTTCACAGCTTGTTGAAGGTTAAATTGGGACTGAGAGACAACACATTGCACGTGTCCCAGCAGGACACTCTCCCACATGTTTGTCTCTTGTTGAACTTCATGAATACCTTGGGAAAATTTAATTCAAAATATTGGAAAGTAATCACTTTGTGTTAAGAACTGATTTTAAAAGAAAACCTTTTAAAAAACATTGTCTGTATGGGATCTTTCCTAACTAGTATTCTTTTGCTCTGATAGCTTCAACATTTTCCATACTATGCAGCCATCAGAGTACTAAAGGAAAGCCATACATCTCTTCTCTTGTTTTTGATGGAATGACATTGGAAGTGATAGTAAACAAAAATATAATACATATAAATTAGGGATAAAGGAAGGTCTCATTAAACTTACAAATAAGCCAAAGGACCTCCCACATCACTCTTCTTAGAGAAGGGAATGTGTTGTTTGAGGTTGGTGAATAATCTGAGAGAGCTGACCACTGACATCCTTGGCAGATGTCATTGAGACAGATGTTAACCGGACAAGGAGAATGGGATGCTCATGAGCAGTGAGGAACATGTAGTCTCACCAACATGCACCCTATGCACAATGCTACAGATATAATAAGTGAACCCTTGCATTATGAACTATTCTAATACAAATGCTGATTACATGTGTAATGCATATGTTGAGATGAAGCTTTTCAGTGTTACTGTGCTATATATGTAAGAAAATGATACATTTTGCCATATATTTTGAGTCTAAGGTATTTGACTTAATATACTTTTCCTGGATCTATAATGAAGAGAATCTGACTGCCTGAGTCTTAGAAATTATGCATTTCCTAGAATGCTTTTAAAGAAAAGAAACCTTGTAATTTGTCTGCATGTTTGAACTATATTACCTGAACATTAAGACTTTAATGTTCCAGGAATGTGCACAGTATCATTTGCTGACATTGCTACATATTAAGAGAGAGAACATATTGTAACTGAGGATTAGGTTTCATTTTTCCCGAAGATAAAATAGGAACATTATCCTCCTGCTACATTTCTAAATACACTTCCCATGATCCTCAGGGTGTTTCAATTGAAACTCCAGTAAACCCCACACAGCTGGCACTGCTGTTCTGTGCAGAGTGAAATGGTGGAGGCACGGGCCTCTGAGAAAGAAACTGAGTCCAGATGGTTCATGAGGGGTTATTTCATTCTACAGTCTATTTGCTGCAGGACTTTATCATATTTCCAAAGTACTCGGCCATCTTGAGTTCAGATCTTGTTCCCAGTGAAATTAAAACCAAAAATGTAACAATGATACCTTTCAGCTTAATGATAAGTAAAACCAGACGAAGTGCTTCTTTTCTCTCACTGAAGGTTGGTAGCATTTTATTGGCATTCTCTGAACTGTGGGTCAGGACCTCAGCTGCAAAACTCTGCAGAGGGAAGAAGTTAGCTGGTCTCTGTGTAGAATCCCTCATGGAGGACAGGGCCAGTGACAGCAGGAAACACTCAAACTTGCTCCCTTTTACTCTGGCTTCTCCATTAGCACTGTCGTCTGCGGACCTTGTCCCCTCCATAGTCTTAGGATCCACATCCAGCATCTTCACTCTAACCCTTCAAAACCTCCTTCTCTGGTTTTCTCTTGCATCTTGGCCCACACTGGAGCTCGAAATGGTCCTCAGACAAGCCAGATTGAAGACAAGTCTGTAGGACTTCCATTCATACAGTGAGGGGTCACACAGTTCTACAGATGGTTGCCTGTCAGCAGTGCAGCTACCTTACCATCCATTGAAACCACTGAAACTGAGCAGAAATAAACTTTCCCCCTTACAGTTGGTTTTCTCAGGTTGCTGATCATAGTGACCAAATGCTCACTGACTCATCATTCATCTCCCTGCTTTGGGGCTTCTGGCTTCCCTAGGTCAACAGGCTGCAGAAAAAGGACCCCTCTGATAGAAGCAGGATGAGGCTCAGTGTTGGCCGCCCATGGTCTGTCCCCACACCCACAAAAAGCCCCCATTTTGAAGAGATGATTTCCACTTCCGTGTGTAAATTTTGTCTGACTGCTTTCTCCTGCTGTTCCATGGTACAAGACAGGACTTGATCTAGGAACCTGCCTTCTGACCCAGGTAAGGACTGCGGCTGTGTTAAGGCCTGCACTCTGTCTGGAAGAAATGTTGTGACCACATCTACATATAACATCACCAGTTGGAAGGCACCTTCCTGTCTCCCTGAGCTTTGAGTTATCCAGGTTTTGTCAAGCGGTTCTTTCTGGGTTTCAAGATGAGATAACATACAGACCAATTAAATATACTATTGGTAAAATAATCTTCCTGCTTGAAGGCTATGCTTCTTCTTGGATCTACATCATAGCTAAAGTAGCTTCTCTAGACTGGTGGCCTGGGATGCAGAGTACAGAGAGCCCTAGGGTGGGACAGGGTCAGCAGACCAGCCTGTGGTGTCTCCTTCCTTCAGGCTGGTTCATAGCACTGGGTGAGCAGGAGCGTCCTGAGTGCAGCACCCTTCATGGCATTCACATACCACTCTGCCTCTTTCCTTGGCTACACCTTTTGGAATTATTCTGTTACATTTCACTCTGGCTGCACCATGTGCCATCTTTGGAGGGTTCCTACACACACAGTCCTAACCCAAAGGAAAGGCACATGACCTTGGGCAAGGAGGACATAGTTTTCAGCAGCTGTTCTGCAGCTCCTGCCAACCCACCCACATGCTCACCTGCAAGTTCCATCCTATGTTGCTGCTCTAGAGAGCAAAGGAGGCAATAGGGTGGGTGACGCTGCCATTTCATCCAGACTGACATAAAATGGGCTGCAAGCCCCTTCCCCTTACAGTCTCCATCAGGCAGAGTAGGGGCTCTAGTCCAGGTGTTGCTACCACCACCAAAACTCCAGGATAGCAAGAGTCTGCCGCCTGTGAACCCAGGGCCTCCACTCTACCCATCCAACATCCCTGTGGCCACATGGTGACACGTGAAACTACTACACAAGCATCTCCAGAGCTGTACAAATTTGAAGGTGTAGGGAAGGCAAGGAAACCAAAGGTTCTGGCTTGGGATCTTTGTAGGGATGGGTCATCCTGACAAGTTCCAATGGCTGTCTGGTTTACGTAGACAGAATATGATGAAGCCTGAAGGTGCAAGGATGGAAGCTAGCATAGGGGTGGGCCCTCAGTGCCTCCACAACCCATGCCCTCTAGAAGCTGAAAAAAGCACATGCTGATCCCCTCTCACACCCAGGTAGGACACAGAAGCTACTAACTAGAATGAGAAAAAACATTAGGAAGCAATAGACATCTTACAAGGAAGAAGCCATTAACACATAGAGGATGTGCTCACAAAGCAATTTTTCTTTTAATACATTTCTTCTGCAAAAAGATTTGTCTCAGAAGAAAAGGCATGATACGTCTGTGGTATGTGAGAAAGGACAGCACTTTGGAGAGTGTCGTGAGGCTGAAGGTAACCTGAGGCACCTATGTCTTTTGACCTCTGATGGCCTTGACTGGAGGGGGCACAGGCTCTTGGGGTAGCCTGATTGTTGTCCCTATCTCTGATCCACATACTCTTAGTAGGATGACTGTGGTCATTGTGGCTGTCATGGTGAGCACAAGCCATGTCTTTCACCATTGTTCTCTTGTCTGGGCTAGAGGAAGCCCTGTGGTAGCAGGAATGCATACCCACAGGTTCTGGTGGTCCTGCTACATGCAAATTTATCCCTGAAGGAACACTTGCCTGGTGAAGTCCTAACTTATCCACCAGAATTGGTCCAACAACTTCCCTGTTTCTGACCTTTCTGTTTGTGATTGATGCCAGGGTCTGAGCAGAAGCTGATGAGGGCTTGGGTTTTTGCATGGAGCTTTCCTGCCCATTGCATTCTTTATTGGGGTTATGACACTGCAGAGAGTGCTTCATCTTTTTCCTAATTAAGCTTTCTGTAGGAATCTGGCCCTTCTCTGGCACATGTGGACAGGACATGCTCCCATAGCTATCTACTTCCATGACCTGTGCAGGAGGGCTCAGCTCATAGGTACAGAAGGGCCTCTCTCCTGCCGATGATTGTTCCTCATTCCCTGGTCTGGGCTTCCTGTAGTTCTTACTTTGGTTGTTGGAACCAGATATCTTGCTGCTGCTCTTTACTGCGTCGTGAAATCTGGACATGCTGGACTCCTGCTCCCATTGATTGTTCACTCCCCTCACTGATGGATCACATGGGACCTCCAAGGTTGGTGTGTTGCTGTAGAGTGTTCCCTGGGAATTGGACACAGAGGTCTGTGAAGGCTGGATCACTGTGCTGAGGAGCCCCACAGTGTGGCAATCTTGAAGGCTATCAGTGCACACATTCTGAGAACAGCTCTCTCCCTCTCTGAGCATGTCAATATCCAGGTGACTGTGCTCTTTTCTCTTCACATTTTGAGCTTGATTCTGGTGAGTAGAATCTCTAGACAGGGAGGAGGAGTGATTACTGGTATATGGAGACCCTAATGTCCTTAGATTGATGTTGATATTCTGAGAGTTTTCCATCATTCTGGTGCCTAAGGTGATTTCCCATGCAGGGTGCTTCTCTTTCACCTCTGGCTTCCTGCTCTCTTTGGCTACTGACAGTGGGGACAGTAGTTTGATTTCCAGCACTGGGATGCCATGACAGGTACCTTCAAAGGCCATCCTCCTAGTCCCCTCCTGTAGGTCATGCTTGGCCATTTCTGGGCCTGGAGTGGGTACTAGACTGCCTCTCTCATTCCTGAAAGCAGTGCTGCTCCACTGGGTAGAGGCAGCAGAAGGAAGCCTGACCTCCTGTGCACTTAGAGGGATGTCTGAGGGCCCATTGTTGTCATCAGATAGGGTTCCATTGGAGACCTTCTGCACTTCCTTCCATGCAGGTGATCTGGCCACAGGGATAGTACTCTGCAGAATGGGAAAGAGCGTTTGTGCTGTCTCCTTCAGTCCTGCAACTTTCCCAGGAATTTCTTGTTGGAAAGTGGCTAATTTGGTAATGAAGTCAGTCCTGGAGTCACTGGGGGCTGAGGAGGCAAAGGAGGGCAATGGAGGAGGCAATGCTTGAGCCTCACCTACGTGAATGTTTCTAGGCTCAAGGTTCTGGAAAAGAGGCCCACACTTCTGCCTTAACCTATAGTTTTTAATATGTGCTTCCAGCAAGGAAGGAGTTCTGGGATCAAGGAAGGAAAGTCCCTGAGTGGAATTCACACAGGTTTTCTTACCCTTGTAGCATGTCATCATTATGGGCGGTGTGTGAGTATTTGATTTTGGCAAAGTGCATTTGGCAATAAGCCAGGATCTCCGTACACACACAGGGATCATGCCTTCATTGATTTGCCAAAACTTTCTGCTCAGATGGACTCCCAGGTCTTTTTGCAAATCTTTTGGATCTGGGCCCCTAGAGAAGTGACTTCCTGCATCATACTTCTCAGGCCCCTTGATGTTACTTTGTGCACCCTTGTCCCCCTGAACTTCCCATGGGGTGCATCCTACACCTCGGAATGTATCTTTTCTGTCTTCACTTGCATTTTGTTGAACATTCCTTCTGTCCTCTAATTTGAGTGTTACCAGACCCCTATAAAAGGCTCTGCCAGAGGACTGGGACCCTGTATTCTGGACAGTTTTGTTCCTTCCACAAGTAGGTGCTGAGGTTTGAGTGGGTTGAGTAGCACTATAACTGTCCTGTACCCGGCCCTGGCACTTCTCTGGGAGTTTGCCCAGAGGCTGCATGAGATCTTGGGATGGTAGGAGCCTGAGGGCAGGGTGGGGCAAGTTCTCACTCCCCTCATCTCTGCTGAATGCTCCTGATCTGTGGCACTCTGGTTTCTCCTGAAGCTCAGCACTGTTAGAATCCCCAGAAAGGATGGAGACAGCCTGAGGGGCCTCAGAGGCCTGGCTGCCTTGAGGAAGGTTGAGAGTAGGTAGGCTAATGGGTTCTTGACCTTTTTGGAGCTTAGAGTTTAAAGCCTGTCTCCATTTCAATGGCTTCTGCAGGGTCCATTGGAGATCCTGATTTTCAATAGGAAGAAACGACTGTGCCTTCTTCTGGGATGTAGAGCAAGTTGTTCCACAGGCCCTGACCTGGGATGGACAGGTAAGCTGCGGCTTTTGGGGAAAGCACAGGAGTTGGGCTGGTGGCTGGACAGACGGCAGAACTAGGGGCGAGTCTTGTAGAGATGGACCTGGGATATGGGTGTGAGCTTCATTAAATTTAATACAGTGAGACCGTGTAGACGAAGATCTTCCACCAGCCCAGGCAGTGGCCACCAGGGACTCACTGTGCAGAGAGGGCGGGCCCCAGAAGAGTAGGCTGCATTCATGCTCTAAAGGGCTGCCCAGGACCTTGTGGAGAGAGGGCTGCTGAGACCCAAGAAGCCACTCTGCTTTGTCTTTTGTGTTGCAGAAGAGCTGCGCAGAGGTGAGTTTGTCACCCAGTGACTTTAACAGGTTTCTCAGAGAAATCCAGGGGTAGTCTGTGTTCACCAGTTGGAAAAATGAGCCGTCCTTTGGTTTTTCCTGGCGCATTTTCTGTTTGACTCTCTTGCTGATCAGCATCTCCAGCAGCTTGTGCACATCAGGGTGGATGAAAGCGTGGTCCCCTCTTCCCACCTCTGCCTGCCAGTGGGAGGGGCCTTCCCAGAACACAGTGTCTGGTGGGTGGTGAGATGGATGTTCTTGCTGGGATTTGCCATGTGCCCAGCTGGAGAAGAAGGTGGCCTTGGCAGTTGCCCAGCACCAGGAGAAGAAAGAAAGACAGTGGTGAAGGAGGTCAGGGCCTGAGAGAACCCTGATGAGAGATTGCAAATAGGATTTACTGAGTCCGGAGTCCTGGGGCCCAGTGCCTGGGGGCAGCCTCCTCAAGGCAGGCTGGTCTTCTTGAGGCTCTGTGGAGAGAGTTGAGGTCAGAGGCTGCTGGGTCACAAAAGCCCAGGAAAGCAAGGAGGACAAAGGGCTAGGAGGAGGAGCTGCCACCCAATGACTAGGTGGTCGACTGGCTCCAGCAGGCCCTGGTTTGAACACCTCACCTGGGACATCTCCATGAGAGAGGTGATTGACTTCAGCATTCCCAGGGAGCTTTTGTAAGAGGCTGCAGGAAACAGGAGGCACAAGCTACAGCCAGGGGCAGACATGCCCAGAAAAGTGGGTAGATTGGGCAGGGGTGGGCAATTGTGGCCCACAGTCCCTCCACTGTCCCCCACCCAAGGTTCACAAAGCCAGCCATCCCAAAGTGGCATCTCTCCCTTAGCCTGGGAGATGGAGAAGGAGATGGATATGGAAAGTTCCTCACCGTTGTAGAAGTAAAACTAGATGCCGAGTCTCCTCCAGTTCCCTTCGACACTCTCTAAAAGCTAGAAAAATAGACTGGGTTATGGCAGAGAAGGGAGGCCCCTGGGATCATACAAGAAGCTGAGTTGAATGTCACATGGGAGACACCATATCAGATTAGACCTGCAAGCCAGCCAGTCATCAGTGCCCAAGGCTCCTGACAGTGGTTCCAAGGAACATGGAGGGGCTACTTTTCATCCTTTATAAGAAGGTTAGCATCCACCACCCCCCATTGTGTTCACAGTTACCTTATGGGGAGGAAAGTCAGTTCATAGAATGAGGAGTCTGCTATAGAGAAGTAAAACAACATTCCCACAGTTAGACCTATAAGTTCCACCTGCAAATGTAAGCAGTATTGCTCCACTATGACCCATACTTGTGCCCCACCCCCCTGCCGACATCACCCTTCCCTGGCCAGTCGCACCTTCATCCCAAGCACACAACCTGAGAAATGTCCCCAAGTCAGATTTCTTTCCCAGAAGCTTCTCTCTTAGGCCTCTTCAAAAGACATCCTCAGAGATCTGAATCTTGTTGCTCAGGAGTGGGGAGTTCAAGTCACGTCTGTCCTAGGACAGAGCCTTACCTTTCAGAATACAGCTCTTCCTCCTGATCTTCTTCTGTCTCTTCTCCATGTGGTTCTGAGAGACAAGAAAGTCAGAGTCTCAGACCCAGTTCTCCCTCTCTTGTCTCTATGCAATGTTCCTGAATAGCATGACTTTATAAATTAAAGAGTTCGCTTGTAATGTAGCTAAAAATATTTTGTTTTTCCCTTCTGGAAAACAGAAAAGCCTTTGTGTGTAAGCTCCACATGGATGTCATTAGTCCCAGTTCCTCTTGTTAGGAAGCACAGACTAAGCTCTACCCACACGTCTCTCTGCTCCCACGTAGGCATCAGCTTCCAGCTGCCAGTCCAGATGCCTCTGCCATGGGAATGACTGATGCACCAGTCCTCTGACCCATTCTCCACACATCCCCAAGTCTCTGGAACTCTACTTCTTATTGTTTTATTTCACTCTGGCCCCTCCAGCACACCACATAGGTGGTCTGAGAGTCTCAGATGTATGTCTCCGTGCCCACTCTCACCTCTGCCCCACCAGTCCCAGAAGAATGGTATTGTTACTGAGATTTCCACACTCATAATTCTCTCAGCTGGTTTAGAAAAAGTGGAACACATAGTAGAAAAGAGAATCTTGGACCAGGGATTTAGCTCAGCGGCACAGCACCTGCCTAGCAAGTGTGAGGCCTTGGGTTGGATTCTCCATACAAAAAAAAAAAGAAGAATCCTGTCTATTGGGTATCTCCCAGGGGTTGCTTACCTTTCTGATGTTTTCCTTTTTCCAAGTTAGTGGGAAGGATGGATTAGTCTCCAGGAAAGGGATCAGTAGGTTAAAGAGCAGCAACCCACACAGAAAGGCAAGGATCATGTGTATTGCCCAGCTGGTGAAGCTGATGCTCAGCCATGTGGAACCAACACTTTTCAGAAGAAAAGGAGGATTCTCCATCACCTGAACCCAACTGTCCCCCTCAGGTTACTGAGCCCTAATAGTTTCCTCATTGAGTAGGGCGTTTGGCCCAGGCCTGCATCACAGAGCTCTGGTCTCCTCATCACAAAGGGTCCTGAGGGGGAGGGGTGCCAGAAAGAAGAGGCCACCCCATCATCACTCCCCATCCTCAGCCCAGCACATCCTCCACCTCCTGAGTCTTCTAGATTTCTTCTTCCAAATCCAGCTGCGCAGCTTGTCAGAGATAATGCCTAGTACATTTTCAACCACCACCACCACCCTGAAGCCTAGATGGGACTGCTTCCTGAGGGTCTCTGCCTGAGCTACATCAGTTTTGTTTCTGAAACTTCAGCATTCTCTCTTAAATTCTATTTCATAGGAATTATCACCCTCAGGATCACACCTCTGTACCTCCAAAATGTCCCCATAGTATATTTTTATGTTGCATCAACTCATTCTTGAAGTTTCTTTCATACTTACTTAGCTCACTGAGTTTTGGATAAAAATTTTTATATACTTTTCTTTTAATTTTCTCTCTTCACTAGTTGGTTCTAAACCAAAAAATTAGTTTAATACTTTTGTTTGGTACTGGGAATCAAACTCAGGACCTTATGCTTGCCAGGCAGACACTTGTGCTGCTGAGCTACATCCCTGGCCCTTTAATACATTATTATAAAATCACAAATTAGGTGTAAAATTGAAACAAACCTTCAAAGTATATTCTTGCATATATCTAGTGTACTTGCTTTTGAAATCAATGGAAAATAAACTCAGAGAAAATTTAAGAATTTCTTTAAACACATATGATACTGACAATTCAATCCACTATTTCATAGAGATGACTATGTAGCAGCTCTGAGCAGGATTTAATATTAACCAGTTGGCTTTCCATATTTACTTGTGATTCACTGATTCCTACTGAGGCCTGTAATGGTGGGTGAAGCTGTGAGCTCTCGACACAAGACAAAGCCATAGCTGAGGAATTTTGGCCCCAACTCCAATTAACTAAAAAGAGACTGTAGGTGTAGGAATCTCACTCCTGCAGTGAAGGCCTTCCTGGAGTGAACTTAGTTCTCCTAAATCAACATAAGTATTACTTGGAGAATTCCATAAAGGATTTCCCAAATCCCACCCAGATTCCTGCATTTTCTTCAGTATCCCTCTCCTATTATTTGAAAACCTAATAAATACAGACTGCCCAGGGAAGTCAGGGTCTTAACTCAGAGAGTGTTAACCCAGCGACTCCTAACTACTGTAAGAGAGTTAGACCCTCCTGGAGCCCTAAAATCATTTCATTTATTTAAAACTTCGCTGTCCACTAGTTTGGGAGATTGTGGGCCTGATCAGCCCTCAGTAACTAAGAATTATTAACCCAATAACTATTTTCAAATCAATAAACTATTTCTTGTCATTCAAAGACTTCCTTTATTATTTCTTAGAAGGCAATACTTCAGGTGGCAAATTTTCTTAGGCTTTGTCTAATTGAGAATATGTTCCCTTTTCATCACTGATGGACAGACTTTTCTGGAGGTGAAATCTGTGGTTGAAATTGATGTTGTTTCTAATCTCTTTGAGTAGGTGACTCCACTGTCTTCCTCCCATTGCTTCAGATTAAAAATCAACAGTTATTATAATTATAATATAATTGGTACATGAAAAAAATAGTTTTCTGTGACTTTTTTTCAGTTTTCTGTGACTTTTAATAAGATTTTCTTTTTCCACACTTTGTGATAGGCTTATGAATGAATATATCTGTTGTATTTTAAAAGTAGAAATATATAGATCAACATGTGTATCAATTGTACATACTTCAGCCATTATTTCTACAGATATTTTTCCACCCCTGTAAGGCTTGAGTAGGACCTGACTCTCCCAGACCCCAGTGTGAGTGCCAGTAGAGACATTATTCTCAGCAGGGAACTCAGCTCAGCACCACAGCCTCAGTGCAGGATGTCGAAAAGCAGGTAAAGTAGGCCAGGGAATTTTGCAAGTCCCAGGATGTCTGGGTACATCTGAAGCCCACCCAGAAATTTACACCAGATACTACAAGGACATTGCCCACTGAGATGTAAGACAGCCAGAGAACTTTGACCACAGCTGTTTATTAAAATCTTCCTGCCTAATGTCCCCTGCCTTCTTTCCAACCCTTATAAAAGGGGCACATTTCTCTGTTCCCTGCAGACATTCTTTTCACCTTCTGTCTGCCTAAACTCACACACAATAAATTTCATGCCATGGTGCCTCTACACAAGCCCAGTGGTCTCAGCTGGTTCTCTGCCCCTTGCACCATGCATTATAGCCCCTTTTTCTCATCTTTCTTTCTGAGACTCTTATTCCACATGCTGGTCTGCTTGATGATGTGGCTACCTAGATGATACTGCACTGTTTGCCGAACCTTGGCTCCATTGTGCTGTGTTGCTTTTGTTCCAAATTACAGATTAGATATCTATACTGATGTTGTTTTATTTCCAAACTCTTTGTTCTGTGCTGTGGATGTATCTATTTTTCCTATAACACGCCACTGTCTTGATTGCTGCTGCTTTATACAAAGGCTCAAAGTCACATATTCCATCCTCTTAACTGGTTCCTTTCCAATATTTTATTGACTAATCTGGGTATTTTGCCTCACCCTATAAACTTTTAAAACGGAGTTTTTTTAAATCTACCAATTAACTTGTTGAATGTAAGGATCAGCTGGACTGAAGTTGCTGAATGATAATAAATTTAATCATCTATACCAGTGACAGTGTTGCTCTTTATGAGCAACTTTGAAATCTGCCCCCAAAACTCTTTGTGTCCAACATGTGCATTTAGGGGCTATATTTTCAGAGTTGACACATGGGTCAACATGCTGATGTATTAAATGCACAGTAGGGGACAATTCAGAAGCTCTCCCTATGAGAATGGATTGACCATTCCTTACTACAGTGTGAGCAGCATAACTTGGTCCCTTGATGATCCTCTTAGACTCTAAACCTATCCTCATGCCTGTGTCCTATATGGAGTAAATAAAATATGTTAAACAGTATGGTTGCCTGCCTGGTCTACAATGTCAGTCTTCACTCTAACATAATGATAAAGGGGTCGATGCTTCAGAAAGACATCTATCAATAAATGCGTATATATAAAACAGAACATCAAAATAGATTAGATAAGAGAAAGCACTCCAAGCGTGAATATAAAGTGCAGCTAGGTTTGAGAACCACTGAAAAAAAGGCGAATTATCTGCAAAGCTTTCTGGGAAACTCTTGGCCCCACTGAATTGTGGGTAGGTTAGACTGCTTTGGCTCTACCTGAACACAAGAACCTCCTTTGAAAGGAAAAAAGTACATCTGTATTTTTGGAACCTGGAAACTGTCTCTAGTATTAAGTTCATGCACCAAGCACAGCTGGATAATAAAGTGAGATGGGAGAAAAGAGGTCCTCCAGGAAGAGATCCAAAATGTTCTTCCAGAGCAATACATCTCCCAGGTGGCCCAGACCTTGCCAGGAATAGGAGAAATAGCCAGGAAGGTGAGCAAGGACCCATAGGGATGGAAGAAATTCCTGCTGTTCCGGTCCCCTGGGCCTCCTGGGCCTCCTGGGTTCTGGAGCCAGTCTCCTGCACCCTGAAGGCTGGGCTGCAAGCCAGACTGCAAACCTTTAACAAAGGGCCCAACCTGTGACAAGCTTAGAGCTGCATAGCTGCCTGCAGAAACCATACCTGGGGAAGAGATTGGAGGAGAGACCACGCTCGGGTGGCAAATTTGGTCACGCATGACCTTTAACCTGATTGCACATGTCCTACTGAGCAATCAGACTTAGAACAATGGTGCTAATCAGTAAGTCCATTTCCCTTTCCCTTGGAGGGAAGATAAGAGTGGCATTAGTAAAAGAACTTTAAATTCTCTTTAAACAAATTCACAATTCTTTTTTAGGACCTTGAACTTCAAGGAAGAGATGCTATACATACATGACATAATATTGTGGCCCACTTTGCCAAAAATAAAAACTACTGTTTGGTTTACCTCAGTTGTAGCACTTATTTTTCTTTTTCATTTGGAAGTCCTGAGTTTTGATTCAACATTATAGGGGATTACTATACTAGCTATGAACAAACTCGAGTATATCCCAAAGGTTGGTGCTTAAAATCCCCAAGAATGTGCTTTCTCCAGAGTAGGAAGGAAGGGCTATATCCAGCGGGTTATTCTTTTCCATGCTGTTGGCTTTCATCATGACTTTGAATTTTTGTAGAGTTGTATGTACTATATCCTAAACCCTTTAATAGTTTAAACTTTTTGTGTGAAAGAAAAGAAGGAATTTTAGTACCCTGCCATTCCTTGGTTTTATTCATGAAATTATTCATTTTAAAGGTTTGTGGTAACATCTCTGCTTGTACCAAGGAGAAAATAAATATGGTCTTAAAAAATACATTAGAGAAGAACTGACATAACTACAAAAAAAAAAAAACCAGACAAATCTATCATTGTAGTGAGAGAAGTCAAAAAACCTTTGTCAGTACCTTACGGATGTAACCATCAAAATAAGTAAGAATATAGGACTGAATCAATCTGGTGGATTTATTGGCATAATTTACTCAGTAGCAGGAGATTATATATTCTTTTCAAGCTCAGTTAGAATTTTAATCAAATGAGCACACTGTGGCTTAGAAAGTGCAACTCAACAAATTTAAAACAGCAGAAATCATATACAGCATTCTGTAAGACTATATCTAAACAGAACTAGAAATCAACAAAAACAGGTGAAAATTCTAATTATTTGGTGATGTAATAACCCACTTCTAAATAGGACAAATATGAAATTCTGAGAATAACTTTAAAACATTTTGAAGTAAACAAAAATAAAATACAATTTGCAGGATGCACTGAAAGTAGACCTTACAGGAAAATTTATAGAATCAAATAAATATTTTAGAAAAGAAGACCAAAAATTAGTAACCTAAATTCTTACCTTTTGAAGCAGAAAAAGAAGAGTAATTCAAATCTAAAGCAAGTAAATGCAATAAAAAAAAAAAAATAGTACAAATACTAATTCAACTGAAGTGACAAAAATAATGTAAGAAATCCATA